CCCCAAAACCCCAAAACCCCAAAACCCCAAAACCCCAAAACCCCAAAACCCCTAGTCAAAAGGACACTATTGAAACTATAAAAATAAACAGAACAAAAACCCACCCAAGATCCTTCAATTAAAAAGAGAAAGCTTCTAATCAATTTGAAATTATCAGATAAGTAATGTAAGAGTTAAGTGCTATTTTTCTTGTCTAGTTCATCCATAATCATCTTTTCTAAACTTTTCAGGTCTTTTAGTCTTGAGTAATAAAGATCTATTTTCTCTTTGATACTACCTTCCTTATTTTCCTGACCAATGTCTTGTGCTTGACCTTCATCTCACTTGATCTCTATCTTAGATCTATTTCTTGTTCTTTGGGAGATAGGGAGGTCTTTCTGTTTTTGTTCGTTGGCAATAAACGCCTCTTTTTCAATATTATGGTTATGGTCCGTTAATCTCTGGAAGTGAGAAGGATCTTTCATTAGCATTGGTTCATTTTTATAGCATCTCTCAACGGGTTGAAACGGTAATGGATTACTTCTAGGCTCGTACATTCCCATACTGTTACTCAGATAATGCCCGGACCTCTCTGGATAATGAGAAGGATATTGAAGAGGAGGAGGATTCTCTATTCTATGTCTTTGGTAGTTCTTCTTTGCTAGATTTTGGCTGAGCTCATTCAAATGCTCTGAATTGCGATTCATAAAATTTGCTCTTTCATAAGGCTCCATTTGTCTCTGAATGTGCATTTCTCTTCTCGAGTCATGAGGATTCATTTGATCTCTCTCAGCTTCGTAAAGTCTATTGGTCTGATGATATGTCGGAGAGTGTGAATTTTGGATATGAGGAATCGCTATTTGTTCACTATTCATTCCTGTTTTCATCCGTTTTTGAGTATTATTGATTAATACATATGGATGATTAATATCAAGATTGGGTGGTAAAGTGATAACATTTGGTTCATAATTCTTCAAAGCATCTCCTTGGAAGTCTAGCAATTCTTCGGCAGTTCATTGCAATTCTTTGAGCTCTGGGTCGAGATATTTATGATCTATATCACCTGCCTTTCTCTTTTCATTAGCTATTTTTCTTAAAATTCAGTACAACCTATTTTTAATTGAGTTTTCAGTCCTTCCGCTGAAAAACCCAACAAGTTTACTCCATTTTGGTCCAAACTTCATCACAAGCTGAATGAGTATTTGCTCTTCTTCAGAATTCCAGTTTCCCTTCTTTAGTTTGGGATCAAGAGTATTGAACCATCTCTCACGGATTTGCTTGCCACTTCTTCCCTTTATAAGACTAGTAGCTTCAGACCATCTGGCTGGTCCATTTTCTTTAACCCATTTTCTAAGAAGCTGATCTTCCTTAATATTCCAAGGTCCTTTGACTAGTCCAGGTTGAAGGATCTTTTTCCATCTATGAAGACACTGAGTAGAGGTCCTTCCTGGGATATAGCTACAGATCTTTTTCCAATTCTTAGCACCATATGTCTCAATAGTTCTCCTTAAAAGTTTGTCTTCCTCCTCTGTCCATTTTCCACCTTTAGAGTTACTAACTTTCTTAACTAAATTTGTGTCTTCATTGAAACCCCTGCCTTCAGAGTCTTCAAAATCTTTTGAGTCTTCATACTGTGACATTATGGGTTACTTTATTATTTTATATTTCAATAGTTTTACTTGAAACCGGGGTTTTGGGGTTTTGGGGTTTTGGGGTTTTGGGG